CCAGGGTTATAAATTTGAGGGGGGGTTTTTTTTAAAAATTTTTAAAAAAAAAAAAAAAAAAAAAAAAAAAAAAAAAAAACATCACGTCAAACAAAAACATAGAGTTGTGATCAAAACTTTTGGATTTTCAAAAAAAATTGTTTCAAACAAAAAATATTTTAATTGAATTGTAAGAATTATTTTTTTAAAACAAAAAAAGTGCTTTAAAAACTTAGAATCTCAACCAAAAACTTAACAAAATTCTGATATGCAAAAATTAAAGTTTCAAACAAAAAATTGATTTAAATTAAAAAAAAAAGTTTTTAAAGCAATTTTATTTGTTTAAAAAAATAATTCTTACAATTTGATTTAAATATTTTTTGTTTGAAACTATTAAAAAAAGTTTTGATCAGTTTTTGTTTGATATTATTTTTTTTTATTGAATACTGCTGTTTTTGTTTGACGTGATTTTTTTTTTTTTTTGATTGAAAAATTGTGAAAAAAATCTAACTCCATAAATCTAACTCCATAAATGAGCTCCAGCTGCAAATAGTCTGAGTCACACGGGCTGCTGCCCTCTAGTGGGTAAATGAGGAACAGCATTTAGTTTGTAAGCTACGCCATCTACAGGTAACAGTACTGCTGCCCAATGTATTAATTCTACGTTATTGATTTTATGACAGAGGCTGCGGGCCGGATGAAATTTGACCATGGGCCGCATTTGGCCCCCGGGCCGGACTTTAGACATGTCTGGTGTATATGTATGTATATTACATATTGTATATTTGTAATGTAGATAGATTTTACTGTTTTGAATGCACAGATCGTGACATAAAACTGGGAGCATACCTGGAGCAGACTCGTGACAAATATAGGACTGGTTGGCAGTTACTGTATGCAACGAAAAAAACTGCCTTTGTTTCACTCGCCTAGGCTGTGATTGGTTGATCAAAGCCTGATGTCCAGCCCGTGATATCTGATTGGTTCCCTGGCGCTCCTTTTAAGTTTTGGAGCATGCGCCGTAGAGGCAGCGCTGAAATTCAAATTTGAACCGAAGCTGTTTCGTCGAGGAAGAGCAGTCAAGCTGAGAAAATCGCTGAACACTTCTCGTTTTGCTTTGTTAGGTTATTTCTTTACACACAAGTCGAGTATAGAACTGGTAACACTCCGTTTTGTAAGTACTCCTAAAGTGGATGCAAACTGTCCGAAATGGACCCATTTACTGAGGTGAGTTGAGCAATTTCATGTAAGAAGCTAGCTGTCGCAAGACTATTGTGGTGGATAGTAGGAGTGTTATCGTTATCTTCTAATGCTAACTTAACCCGCAGCTGTGTTACTAGTTCAGTTGCTAGGGGGAATGCCGTCAACTGCAGTTTCTTTGTTTGGTACCGGTCAGAAGTCACTATAAATAATACAAAATGTAGTTCGTTTTTATAAATGTATCAATTGGAAGCTTCAATTCATTTATTACGCTCAAAAACAGAAATAATCATGGAACATTAACTTAAACAGATTACATCTTTGAATATTGTGAGGTTCAGTCTTTCTTTTCTCCTGATACTGTTTTCTAGACTTTGGATAGTAGGGGCGTTACCAAAAACAAAGCATGTTTCTTGTGCCTCCTATAAACTGTACAGTGCCTAACTGTCCTGTACAGTTAGGCAAAACCAGGCGTGGCTCACTCCTGAAGAATGTGATCTCAGATTTTCCACACAGGGCTGTTGGCTTGGTGAAGCTGTGGTGGCCTGCAGCACTCCCAGGAATGTGTTAGGACTTGCTCAGTACAGTAAATCAGATTGTGAAATTCTTGACAAAGGGAATGAAAGGAGGGTTTTGTGTAGAAGAGAGAATTGTTTAGTTTAATTGGTTGTGTATAAGTGAGAAATCCAGCAATAACAATTTGGATCTGGACCCCAAACATGCTTATTATATCCAACCATAGTTTAAGAAATGAAATATGAATGAATTAGGCCAGCAGGTCATTTAGTGACTGTTTATTGTACCTCCAAGTTTACTGTGCATGAATTTTTTGTTTTGATTCTGTTTGATTTGACTGTTAATTTTTCTATTCCCACCGAAACTGTTGTGTGCAAGTCTCTTGATCCGATTCACAAAGGAAACCTCTTAACATCATGTGGTCCATGCTTGTCTGTCCTGGATACTGCATGTCTGATTTTCTGATTCCATTTGTCAAACTAGAAACTTTTGGAGCGGACTCGGGCCCGCAGGGAAAATCTGCAGAGGAAGCTAGCAGAGCGTCCCAACGCAGCTAACAGACAGATGGTCAAAAGGCCCAGGGAGCCTCTAACTGAATCAAATAACACCATCACTGATTCTAATGTTGATAAAGGTTAGTCCTTTTGTTAAGATTGCCCTCGGTGTTGTGTAAGGTGTTTAATGAAATTTCCTTGTAATTCCTTTTTCCCTTTCTAGTTCCACAGATATCCTCCAAGCCCTCCCCTTCCAAGCGCAGGTGCTCAGAGGAAAACCAGTTGGCACGGGATGAGGAGAACCAGGTTCCAGTGATGACCCAAGCTGGGGGCCCCGTACCACCAGACCCTCTAACGGACAAGAAACCCCCAGTGGGCCCAGCCAGCATTCGCTCGTCCTCCTCTCTTGAGCAGAGTTCAACTCGACCTGTTCAGAGTCGGCTTAAGGAGCTGAAAGCTGAACGGCCAGAGAACGTAGCTGTCACTCCAGGTCCTGTCCCTCCAAGCACCAGAGAAGCACCAACAGAGCCCCCTGGTTTTGCCCAGCACAGGAACAAGCCAGACCAGGTGGATGACTCGACTCCCTCTGCTGCTGGCATGAAGTCACGCCTGCAAAGGCTGGCGCAGCAGAGGAAGTGCTGGGATGGGGATGATGGTAAACACATTTGGTTGAGATTTGTCACATTAGTAACAGGCTCTAAATCTGGAACTAGTCTGACTTTGCTGCTTCTCTTCCAGACTCTTCTGACACAGTGCCAGACAGCACCCCTCCAACCTTGTCAAAGAGACCAGTGGAAGTCCAGCCGCCTGCCAGTCTTCCCCCTTCAGAAGCTCCTGCTGGGCGGAGAGGCCGGTTGGCCAACCTGGCTGCCACCATCGGGTCCTGGGAGGATGACCTCAGCCACGCTCACATTCCCAAAGGGAATCCTGGATCTGGTTCTGTTCCCAGACCTGCGGTCAGAGTAGCTGCTGCTGCTGCTGGCTCCAAGCAAACTGCAGCCTTGAGCAGTTCAGCTACAGCAGCCAGCAAGTCTGCCTGCAGCAGCAACCAGGTAGCTGCACCTTCACGTCTCCACAGTGAACCTGAAAACTGAAAATGTGCTGCTTTACTTCATATATTTTAAGTAGAGATGCACCAGTTAGAGTCGTGGCTCATTTCTGGTCAGTTTTTCTGAAGCTTTGAGCCCTCACTGGTCACTGATTTGATCTGATTCTACTCAGCTTCTCATTAACCAGAGCAGAGACTGAGGCTTCAGTGGAAAACAGGATTTGACTGATTTTTGAAACAACTCACTGTTTTTTTTTTTGTTTTTTTTTTGTTTTTTTTTACATGTCATCATAGCAGATGGTACCAGTAGCTGGACAATGTGTCATCTCCAAAGACAAAGGCTGTTTTTTTTTTATATATATATATCTCTGAATAATGCTTGGCAGACAAGCAACAATGACATTAACTATGAGTCTTCATTAAAGCCTGTTGTCAGGGTGACCTGTTATTGCTTACAAATTATGTGTTCACTGACTAGAACAATGGTTTTTAGTTGGGGCCAGATATGTTGAGCATTATTAAATTCCCTTCATTAGTACATTTCTAGATGGCTCTCCACTTTTATTCCTGATTTTTGCTCACAACTGTTCTCTAAAGAAATCTGTAACGTTTGTGTTTTATTTTTTTATTATTTTTTTTTTCCAGGATACTTCACAATCTCCTGTGAAGTCCAGTCAAATGATTCTTTCTAGCCCTCAAAAGGCTGAAATCTCTGCATCTAAAACAGCCATTCAGACTGTGCAGAGTCCCTTGAAGAACCCCAAGCAGGAAGCAGCGCTCCCACCCAGTCCACATATGGCAACATCCTCTGAAGCAACATCAGCCCCCAAGAGTCCACTAAAGACCCAGCTGTTCCCCAAGACCCCTGGCTACACCGCCAGCCCCCTAAGGCCAGCTCTCCAGGATAGAGCCACCATGTCTACTTCACTTGGCCACCAGGAACCCATCTCTGTTGGAGGTCCAGGCGAGTCAAACTCATCAAGGGTCATATCTTCCGGTTCAAGCTTAAATCAGCTTTGATTGGTATTTAGGAGGTGAAAAATTTAAAAATCTGATTTTTATTTTTTTTTTTTTAATGTTTACCAAATGCATCAAAACTAAGAAGTTCCATCTTCTCTTGATATCCTGTACTCCAAACTAGAGATGGACCAATCCACTTTTTCCACTTCAGATACCAATACACATATCTGAGGTCTAGTTTCGGCTAATAATGATACAGAAAAATTTAAACACAGACATAAGTATACTGAACTGCAAATGTAATAACTTTGCCAATACATCCACCAATAGCTTCACAAGCTAGGTCAAACATGTAAAAACAACAACTTTAATTTGTTCAGTCAGTGCAATTAGGAGTAAAACGGCTCTCGTAATATAAACTGAAGCTGACGAAATCAATAGTTTGTCTACCTTGGTCAAAACAAGCCTTTCAAATGTTCAGAAATGCAATTAGGAATTCTAAATGTAATGTAAAATAAATGGTAAAGCATGATGTTGCTCAGAGCACAAAGATCTGCCTTATAAATCAGGCTCGTTGTCACGATACCCAATGTAGTGTGTTTTTTATGTCAATATCAGGACTTCTCCAGATATCTGTATCAAAACGGTGCATCTATATCCAAACAGGTGTGAAATCTTTCCTGGAGCGCTTTGGAGAGCGATGTCAGCAGCACAAAGAGCAGGGCGCTCCGCCCAGAGCTCCCACTCCAGCCAGGTCTGCTCCCAGTACTGCCTCAGTCACGCCAAACACAAAGCTGGTCCAGGAGAGGCTCCGAGCCGCCCAGGCTGCACACACAGCCACTGCTGAGCTCACTCAGAGGCAGAAGATGGTAGGTTTTATGTTACAACATGATCAACAACAAGGAGAAGTTATCTTTAAAAAAAAAAAAAAAAAAATCCACCTGCTTACAGGAGCGGGAGTCTGAGCTGGCCCAGATCCGCAGCCGATTCCAGAAGGGGAAAACTGTGTGGGAACACAAAGATAAACGGGCAGACGAGACGCACACTGACAACAAGGTTGGCTTCAGATACACACAATACACACGACCTCTGTTGGTCCCCAACTGCCCAAATCTGTCATCATTTACTACAGGTTTTCATTTATTTTGTGAATTATTTATTAGCATAAAATGTCTAAGTTTTAGTTATTGTTGTCCTTCAAATCTCAGGAAAAGCATTCAGGCTACAAGATGATTTTTAAAGTTCCATCTTTCTATGAACATAGCTGGACTTTAACAGATGATGTGCTCTGCAGGATCAGCTCGTCAAACCTGCTCAGAGGGAAGATTCCTCATGTGACCCACAGGATGAACCCACTGCACCATTTAGTGAGGAAGTGACGACACCCAGCCAGAGTCCTCCTCCAGGTGCTGACTGAGCCTGTGTCTTGATGTTATCTGACATCATTCTGTTTACCCTTCCTTTTTATCTCATGAGATAATTTCACCAGCTGGAAATGATTGACGGTCGTATTTAAACCTGGATGGTCCTATTTTGACCATCTATGGTAGAAATGCGTTGCTGATGTAAATGTGAAGAGTTGTTTGCAGTTGGAGTTATTTTGGCATGTAATTGGCTTTTCTTTTGGCTCCAACATGATTACATTCTGCATTTCAACTCATTCAAGATGCTAAGAATCCAAATCTAACTATTTAAAATGACTACATATTAAAAAAAATCAGAACTATTTGTTTTAAAGTTTGGTTTGAAATAAACCAACACTAGACATTTCTTAGTATTTGACTCCAAGGACCAAACTGTAATGGCTGACTGCTGGGTCTGTCTTTACCGAGATGATTCTGTTTGAATTCTCTCATATGTAGGAACCAAGTCATGAATGAAACACACTTGAACAACAAAATGATTTTAAATTATCTTTGATCTTCATCATTCTTTAGTTACTTGCTTTCTGTAAATGCAGTAGCTGTTAACCATAATATCTGAAAGTGTTCCATTTAACAGTGTGTCCTGGAATCGCACTGACTCCTCCAGTCTCGACCTCCAGCCCTATGAGAGGGGTCAGCCAGCCTGGAGAGAAGCCAAGTAAGGAGAAGGAGATGAATGTGGACCACTCCATCAACTCAGCTGTTATTAATGAGCTGTTTGACGGAGTCCTGGAGCAGAGTGAGGATCAAGAAGATGAGGAGGAAGATGCTTTAAATATTTCCTCCATGTCCCTGCTGACCCCTCTGGCAGAGACTGTAGCTGCTGTAGTGAAGAGTCCAGACAGAAGACTCGTGGTGAGAATGATGCTGCAGCTCTCTGATGCCACCAGCTGATAGAAGGTGCTTACCGTCTCCCCCTGCTGCCTCCAGACATCAACTCCAGCCAGCTCCTTCCTGGTGAAAAGCAACACCCCAGAGAGCAGCTGCAGTCCTGGAAAGTTCCAGAGAACCACTGTGGCACGGAGCGACTCCTCAGACGAAGACCACAGGCTGCCTTATAGGTAAGAACACAGAGGTTACCCCAACTGTTAGCAGACTCGGGGAAGGGGAGCCTTAAACTAAATCTGGGAGCTGTGTTTGTGTGTGTGTGTGTGTGTAGCATTGATGCATACAGATCCATTCGAGTGAAGGAACCTGAGAGACCTGCAGTGAAGCAAGTTATTGTGAGAAGGGAAGATGTTTCTAAGAGAGTAGAGGAGCCCAGAGCAGCAAGTCTCTTCAGCATGAAGCAGAGGATGAAGGTACGCAGCTGGAACCCAGTCTGATTATTCTGCCTACAATATACTCATTAAAGTTTATCTAACCCCCGAGAGAGAGCATGACTTCATCCCTGAGTAGTTTATGTGAAAATGTCACAATTTGCTCAGAAACCTGGAGATGGAAGCCTAAATAGTGTACTTGGTTTATCAGCAAAAAAGTTGATATGGGGTTAATTGCACTTTAAATGTTTTAAACGGTCAAGTCTGCAGTTTCTTGAATCTTAAATCAGGGAGTTCTTCTCTTAAATACTGAACAGTCCAGTATTTCCATCAGGACGAAGTCCTCTGTTTGCTTAGAGCTGTTTTTTGTTGTGTAGATGTTGACAAGTGAGGTGAACCTGCAGCAGACTGTGATCCATCAGGCCAGCCAGGCCCTCAACTGCTGCACTGATGAAGAGCATGGCAAAGGCTCGCAGGTGGAGGCTGAGGCAGAGAGGCTGCTGCTTCTAGCAAGTCAGTTCACCTACACTCTGTCATGTCGTTTCACTTTTTACTTCTAGTTAAAGATCATATAGGTGCCCTGCAAGGGAAATCTGTCATCAGCTTCATCACTTAGTCGTCTTAAAAGAATCCCTGACTTTCTTCCTTCCTCTGACTTTCTAAGCGGAGAAAAGAGAAGCCTTGAAGGCAGAGCTGGACTGTCTGAAAGGAGAACCAGCAGGGCAGAAGAAAACTTGTCATCCAGAACCAGCTGCCATATCCGCCTCCAAGGGCTCCATCATCCTGCAGGAGCTCCGCCTTCCCCTTAAGGCAGACTTTGTTTGTTCCACTGCTAACAAACCTGGTAAGAACGCAGCATTACATCTGCTCACTCATGCTCTGACTTTTATATAGATTATTGTGATGTTTAAAAGTTTCACTGCTTTTTGTGTGTTTCCCCTGCCAGACTCAACTAAACATTCATTTTTCATCATGATCCGCGCTGGAGCTGAGAACATGGTGGCCACTCCCTTAGCCAGCACTCACCGCGGCCTCAGTGGAGACACACTCACCTTCCCCACCAAGTTCACCCTGTCAGTCCCACTGATGGTTTCTGTTTGAGGATCATAAAGGAACCCCATCCTGTTTTAATCACATTTCCTTCTCTTTGGGCATTTTCAGGTCTGATGTCTCCAGTGACTTCAAAATAGACTTGGAAGTCTACTGTCTGGTATGTGTCATTTTATTGCTTGTGAAACTTCCATATTCCATATTGGTTCCTAATGGATTGGCCATGGTTTCCTTCAGGTACAAAAACGTGAGCTCTGCAGCGAGAAGAAGAAGAAACCCAACAAATCAAAGGTAGAAATCATTTAATCATAATTCATTTTATTAGTTTTTTTTCTGTTTATTTTGGATATTTAGAATGTCTTCCATTCCCAGTGTTAAATGTTCACTAAAATGTAAAGTTTATTCATCTTTGAGAATGTGTTCTTGCATTATTATGCATTTACCATTATATTGCTGTAAAATGGTCTCAAAGCAACAATATTATCATTTATCACAATAACTTCTGGGACAATTTATTGTCCAGTAAAATTTGTTATTGTGACAGGCCTAGTCGGAGCCTTGTTACTGCTCCTCATGTGTGGGCTCAACCTCAGGTGGTCACCCTG